GAAGTAGGTAGGAAATAAAACATCTTTATAGAAGAATCCCTTCAGAAACATGCAGGAATGTGCCAAAGATCAGCAGCAAACCTGTTCCTGCCTGCTTCCAACCGGACAGATGGCTGGTGCTACTACTGGGCTGGGGGTGGGGGAGAGATTAACAGCTTTTCTTTAATTTCTGCCGACTGTTCTCCATTCCGTCCATCCTGTCCCTGGTATTACAAACATCTTTCAGGCTGCCCCAGAATTAACTCCTGTGACCCACAGGTTGCATGCAATCATAGGCGTAGGTCACACAATCACTCACTCAGACTTAGCTCAGCACATGACTTAGAACCTGATATTAAACTCTTGCTGCTGAATCCTTGAACTTGGATGACTCCAGAGATCCAGTCCAGCTCAATTTTCTGTAATTTGGAGACTCTCGCCAGCACGGTCCAGGCCTATGAATCTATCCTGAATTCACACAGGTCTAGCCATTCACAAATAACACCTCCAGCAAATCATCCCATCTTCATAAAGTAATCCCTCAAGCTGAGCATCCCTAATGGTGTCTGGACTGTCCTTTACTCCCTGGAGAGCTGTCTGGATCCACAGAGATTTCTTGTGTCCTTGTCTGTGGTGGTGGGAGCACTGAGCAAGGTTCAGAGCCCTACTAGCTGTACCGTACCTGTTTGGGCTGTAACAAAGGTTGCTCCTGGCTCCTGTGTTCCAGTGAGTGGGACTTCATTTTTGCTTGCTGCAGTAAAGAAACAGAACAAATTATAAGCAGTGGGACTAGTAGCAAAATTTAAAAAAGTGGCTGACTGGTGGCTTTGGAGAGGCCATGGGAAACACAGTCTCCTCCTCTCTTACAGCCTGCTCTGGGCACTAAAGAATCTGGAGAGGAGGAAAGCATAGCAAACTGAAAACACCAAGTAATTTGCTTTCTGTATACCAAGTCATCACCCCTAGAGTTATGCAAAGACTTGTCACAATTACATTTGTCTTCAATGCTGCTATATGTCCTCTGCTAGTATCAAGTGCATCTTACGAACTAAGATCAAAAATTAATTTATTTTGCCGTGCTATAATTAACTCACCATCCCTACCAGTATCTAAAAAAAGGGCCAGAAATGGTGGGAGGCACACTATATTTTTAAGTTATGTAAACATTTTTCAGCTTTGGGAAAATAAAGTATGTGGATTATGTTTTCCTTCAAAATTTTCCAGCTCCCAGCTAGGACTGCAAAGTAAAATAAAGTGATAACTAATCAATTTTAAAAGCAACATCATCAAAACTGATTTAAAAAAAAAATAAAATATCTA